CTAATGTGTTTGTTCGTGTTCTTGCAGGCCCTCCGTCGCCGCGACCACCCTCATGCCTTCTTCGGACTCGATTGCTAATGCGCTGTCGCTTGTGATGCCAGAAGAAACACCTTTTCTGCCTCTTCCTTCCACTTGTCATCTTGGTCTTTACAGTCTTCGCTCTCCCTCAAGAAAAAGATCCGCAGCAAAGATCCGCAGCATGCAGCGGTTTCAGGGATTACCCTAGGCAGCCAGGCGGCAACAGTCCCGTTGTCAAACTCGGTGCCTTTTTTCCCGAGGTTTCAACGCGCTGGGTGAGTAGTGGGGGTGCCAGCAACAGCACTGGTGTGAGGTGACCTTCTGTTCTTTCAGTTCGACCGTGATCGACCGTTTTGCCTGACCGCACGCCTTCCGTCTGAGAAAGACGACGACCGTGCTGAAGTGTCAGCCCGATTCGCGGACGACCGTGCTGAAGTGTCAGCCCGATTCGCGGACAGGGAGGCCGATCTTCTTCAGGCTCGCAGGGAGCTCGCGACGGGTTTCTTGGCGTGAGTGTGTTCTTCACGCTCCACGACAAAGATCCGCGACAGTCTCTCTCTTGATTTGCAGCAGCGGTTTCAAGATATCAGTCTCGAGCCAAGCGAAGTCGTGACACACGTGAGCAGTGAGTGAAAGAGCACAGAGGCGACGCAACACAACTTGTCCATCCCGCTTGACGCTGCAGGCGGAGCTCATTTGACGTCTGCTGCTTGCTTCGGTTCAGTGGTTGATTGGCGCCATGGCGGCTCTCGCTTCGTCTTCATCCGCCGCCGGGTCTCAGCCGCAGACGCCGGTGAGTCAAGGCGCAGCGCACTCTATCATTGTGTATTGCGCATTTCGTTTCAGCAGGTGGTGTCCCGCCGTGGCCCTCAGTGTTGCGAGGAGGGCACTCGTCTGTGGATGGTGTCGACTGTCGAGAAGAGGGGCATGCGCTGGCCGAGGTGTATGACAGAGAGCCGACCGAGGGAGGGACGGTGGTGCACCTGAGGGCGGTGGAGCCGGTCAGCGGTGTGCGGGAGCTGTTCCAGAAGGTCGTGCCGCACAATCAGACCCACACACCACCGCATCAGCAACAGGTTCGCAAACCCAGGATACACGCACCCTACAGCACTCACACGGGAAGAGGAGATCTTGGTATGTGTGTGGTCAGGGCTCTGATGGCGACGGGAGGTTGTTTCAGTGCATCCATCGCGTGGGCGGCGCTGTGAGTTCGGATCAGACCAACACAGAAGGGCAGCACTCCAAGAGCGTAAGCACAAACACAGACATACACGCGCACACATGGATCGGCCCATGTCTGCGTCTGTCTATCCAGGTGCGTGTTGGCGATGGCAACAAGCGAGCACGTGTGGCCGGCAGCCCGGCTGGCGGTGTGGAGGGTGGTAACAAAGAGCCTCAGCAGCGCATAGAAACGGTGAGACCAGCCGCAGGGAATCTGCAGTGAATGACCGACCCACACTCATCCTTCCCTCTCTCTGTTTGTGTCTTGTGCAGATTTGTTCGTTGGTGATGGAGTTCCTTCCCCTTCATGTGCTCATCCCCCTCTCCCAGTGGCTGGCCAAGAGCACCAAGCAGATGTGGGACCAGGCGGCGCCCAGCCACACACGACTCTTCATCGACTGCGCAACCAAGGACGACGAGCACTGCTGGAGATCGCCGACCGAGGGCCGCAAGTTTTGGCAGAAGATCCCTCTCGATTACGTCGAGCGGATAGCGGCACGGCTCACCGGCCTCACTCACATCACCCTCTGCTACCCTAGGCATCACCCCATGTGGTGCAGTGACGTGTTGCTAACCATCATCGAGGCCGCAGCCGCCCCGCCCGCCCCCACTCAGCCCCCTCCCGCCACCGACCAGCCCGACAGACAGGAAGGCGCCCCCGCCACCCAGAGGCCCTCCGAGGTGCGACAGTCGGCCAGTCGGCTGGAGACCATCGCATTCGAAAGGGTGCGGCTGAGTGCGGCGGAGGGCCGTGAGCTGGAGCGTCACAATCCCCCTCACCCTCCTCGCCGCAACGAGCCCCTCACCTTCCACTCACTCAAGGCGGTCACAGGAGCTGTCGGAGAGCACAGTGAGCTGGCCAACAGAGGGTGGCTGATGCCGTCACTCGAGACAGTGGAGCAGAAGTGGTGGGACGCGCGCGAGCTGGGCCGCTTCATCAGCTCGTCACGGTGTCTGCGGCACGTCGGCGGCCGTCTGGCGGGTGAGGAGTGGGCCAGTGTGATTGAGCACATGCCTGAGGCAGCTGCTGGGCAGACAGGGCCACTTGCAGGCCTGTAAAGCATCGGCACCATCAAGCTGGGCGGCGATCCTGACCAGGCCAGTGCAGCGGTCGACAGACTGAAGGTAACTTACCATCAGTGGATGTACGTGGAAGAGAGGTCTTAGTGGTGATCTCACCATATGTGTGTGCTGTAGGTGGCACTCGTCTCGCGTGGCTGCCATCGGTCGCTCACTCAGATGGTGGTGGACATGTTCTTCTACGACTTCGACAGCCGTATCCTTCCCCTCCTGCAGTCCCTCGCGTCGCTATACAGCGAATGCTGCCGACCCGATGACGAAGTGAGACTCGTCTTCTTCGAGCGACAAGTGTCACGAAGTGAGTGGGGGCGATATGGCAACAGTTTCGACCTGTCGCTATTCTACAACGACGACTTTCCCGCCAACCCCTCCTCGCTCGGGAGAAATGAAGGAAACGAGCATAGAGAGTCTGCGGCTGTGAGAGCAGGCGATGAACTTTTTTGGAACTGGTTAATGTGTGTGTGTTCGTACAGTGTAGACAAGAGTAATGAGTTTGACCCAAAGGGCGGGAATGACTAAGGAATGACTAATAGTCACGTGCCTGCGTATGCTTATGTGCCAGACGAAGCCGATGGACGAGTATATCTGGTTGGCTGAGTCGGTTGTTTTGTGTCAGGGTCCAAGCACGGAAGGCCCTGACGGTCAGCTACACCATCAGCCACAATGACCTCATCAACCCCATCAACAGCCCCAGCCAGGCGGCCAAATTGCAGGCGGCCATCGACATCGCCAAGACACTCACTTTCGACATGGAGCTCGTGTCTGTCCACAACGCCCCTGACTTCGTCCCCCTTCCCAACCCCCCTTCACCCCACACCACCATCATCGACCACCTGCAGCCGTTCCCATCGGCCAGGTTGCTGTACATCCGCAGTGCTCTTGGTGGTGATGCGGGTCGGCTGGTTGCACAGATGATGCCGACGAGGGTCAAGGTGGTATCTTTCGGCAGACGTGTGAGTGCAGCGGACAGAAGGAGCGTGCTCGAGGCCCTCGGGGCGGAGAGGGAGGTTGGCACCGTCGGTGTCGGCTGGCCGCCGCCGCGTGCGGTCAGTCTCGCTGACGGTGCATTGGACGGCAGGGTTTCGGACAGTTTCCCATCGATTGGCTAATTATTCATAGAGTTGTCAGGTATGGAATGCATTGCCACGCAAGGAGTGCTGGCTGGCTCGTTCATCTGATGTGTGTGTTGTGGCCGTGTGTGCTGTCATTCAGCGCCCGATGATCTGGACCCCTCATCCGTTGTGGATGGCGTGCGGGGCCTAAGGCGCTTGAGGCGCTTGACGCTGTTTGTGTGGCCTGGCGAAGCCGTTCGTGATGCCGTCCGGCAGCTGCTTCCCACCGGTTGTGTGTTGGGGGCTGGGCACAAATTTGTCATCGAGGAGACATGCAGGACCGGTCGCCGGCGGAGACCCAGGAGGCAAGACCGTCGCATCACGATAGCGCGTCGCTCTCAGAGGGTGAGCGGGAGCATAGCCAATGCACCCATCGCACCCATACTCGTGTGACTTTCCGTGTGTGCGGTCAGGTCGTCTGTCAATCGATTGCATGACAAGACACCCTCGTTACGCGGCACTTGTTTGGTGGATACACGGATGGATGGATGGACATTTTCTGCTGTGTGGGGCGGCACTTGTTTGGTGTCCGGCTGGCTGGATGGACGGACGGCGAATGGATGTTCTCCGCTGTGTGTGTGCCGGCTGATGCGGCCCATCTCATGCACACACCAGGACACAATACACAAACACTCGCACTGTGGGTGGGCAGTCACGTACATCTGATGTGCGAGAAGGGTCAGAGATGTCGATGAGCAGTCGCTCCCTTTCCTTCGGCTTCCTGTGGTGGGTCGTTTGTGCACGCAGTGAGGGCCATCCATACCTACACACACACACAGACAGTTAGGGGAGGGAGGGAGGGAGCGACTGTTTGATTGACCGACTGAGTGGCTATGGACTGTGAGGCTGGCGATGTGTACATGGGG